AACAAGCACCCGGCGGCGTTTTACGTGGTGGCGGGTGACTTTAACCACGTAAAACTGACGGACACTTTGCCGAGGTTTTACCAACACGTGGAAACAATACGCTTGACCATGTTTACACCAACATGAGAGACGCGTACAGGGCCTTCCCCCACCCCCACCTCGGACTCTCCGACCACATCTCCATCCTGACGGATGAGATTTTTGTCAATTGTTGCAAACCTGCTGTTTCTTCATGCAGTGTGAGTTCACAGCTCACTATGCATGTTCAGACCGATGCTCTGATGTGATCGACCTGATCTACCTACCGGACTCAGCTCCGCAGTGAGATGGAGCTACACGGACTCATCTATCTTGAAGCCGAACATATAGAAGGGGAATATAAAGCTCATTAGAGTTAACCGTGCTGTCTCTGCAATTTGTGTAATTTTGTACTGAAAGCCCTAAAAAGAAAAGGCAACCAAGTATTAGGACAAAGATGTGGCTGAGCAAACGTGGCTACTACGGTCTGTCAATTTTACAGAAAGAACTCCATTTCACCCACACCCACATGCTTCTGTGTTTACATCTGAGATGAAGAAGAAAAAGAAGAATCCTTGTTTCTGAATGCCCACTAAGCAATTTGCCCATGATTCCTGATCTGGAGGTGGTCATGAGAGGCTGATTTCCCCTTATTACCCCATGTACACTACACAATGCCAACGAGGATCAGGCTGAAGATCGGCCCGATAGAAAATTTTTGCACGACTGAAAAATCGCCCTGAAAAGGGAAAAAAATCGTAACGTGTACGTCCGGCTTTAAATGTAGACAATAGTTTTGATAACTCTGAAAGTTCAAATAGATCAAAGCAGTCTCAACCTAGTTCAAACTCTATGCCTATCTCAGGTGCTGCCTCACCTTTCAAAGATAAACCAATCATAGTTATAGGGGTCCTAATAATCTTATTTTTAATAGAATCAATCTTATTTATAAAGAATGCCTTAAAATCATTAATGCCAAGAGCAGAGTGGTGGACGATTCAACAGAGCTATGGCTCTGGGTGAGTTTGACAACTGTATTAAAGTATATCTAGGATATCCTCTTGCTTTACGAAGGGTCCTCTTATACAGTAAGAAACAATTTTCCAGACTAGGTAGGATCCCCATAGGCATGTACAGTACCATTTTCTCTCCAGTTTCCTAGCATTTTTCTTCAGAGTGCACAGCTTTGCATTAACCTGGGGAGCCAGCTTTCTATTTAAAAAAATGTTTTATTTCAAAGGGGCTGCATTATGTAAAGCAGTGCACAGAGAACTCTAGCAACCACATGGCCAAAATCATAAACCTGTGAGGGGGAATAAACTAAACATCTGACCTTGCAGCACTGCTCAATGACACAAAGGAGAGAGAAGGGGAAATAGATGCTTAAAAATGTATAACTGCATTATACAACATTGATCTGCTAAAGTGAAACCTTCTTTTGGGGGAGGAGAACCCTGTTAAAGTAATCCTGAAGGTGTTGAAAACATGGTCAGAAAGGAACGGGTTGTGAGGAAATACTGTTATTTCTTTACATTCAATACCACAAGTTCAAGGTCCAAAGTATTAAGAAGAGTATGTGTGGGTCTATTCACATTTTGAACAAAGTCAATAGCACTAAAGGCCACACTAAGCTATCACCTTCAATGTCAGCGTGGATGTTTGAGGTAAGCATAGTGGTTCCACACTATGATGACCCTGTCAGTATTCAACACTAAATTAGATAGGAATTCTGAAAACTCATCTAAAATTCAGAGTAAGAACCTGGTGGACGATACAAAGTTACACAAAGAAGAGGTTTTGTGGCTTTGCAATTTGGATGAAGGAAACTGACGGTTAAATGTTCAAAAGAGTTGTAATTATTAACTGCCTTTGGAATAATCTGTAAGTCAGACAGAAATACAGTTTCTACTCCTCCTCCTTTTCAAGAATTTCTGGATATGTGAAAATTTAAATAACTAGAGAGAATTGCCTCGTTTGTGTAAGGCAACATAAATATGATTATCACAAATCAAGTCATTAACTAACCAACTTTTATAATAAAGGCATTGTATGTTAAATAAACCACATTTAATTATTTTTACTTTTTCCAGAATTGGAGATACTTTTATTTAGATTTTATTTACTAATTTGAGATTCTTTTGTAATTAATTTGATTTTGGTCATGGGCAAGACTCTGCCTGGATAGAGTAATGAGTGGGTAACAGTAGAGAAGCTGCAAAGAGGTTTGTTGTTTGTTGACTCTGCTTCCTGGTCTGCACCCTGGGTTTTCAGGATTTTTGAGGACTAATAAATTTGACCAGGTTCCTAGAAAGAAGAGCTGCTCCATCCAAAGTGGGATGGATGTCATCTCTCTAAATCAGACCAGGTTTTCAGCAAAAGGATTGCCAATTATTAATGTAGCCCACGTTGCTATCAGGACACCATCTAGACAACCACTGGTTGAATGACGACATGCAGCTAAACATGTCATTACTGGTCAGATCAGGGAGAAAATGATAGTAGTAGAGTCCAACATTGTTTTGGCAAAGTTACACACGGAAGCAACACTAATTTAAGTGACCTCCAATTGGCAGAACTGTGTGTCATTACAACAGTGTGAATAACAGTCTTACTGTATTTAACTTTATCCTTAGCCAGCAGTTTCAGGTAGGATTTTATGTCTCCCGTTCTGGCTCCCTGCAAACATTTGACTATGGTCCCTATTGTATGGTTCCTGATCCGAATGCCACGTTTCTGACTCTGTAGCTACAAATGACCAGAGTGGGCTATTCAGTGAGTGCTTCACTGAGCAGGGAAAATCAGTCAGAAATATTGATGGTTTTGTGGTGATCTGTGGTTAGAGATCCATGACTACACTGTTTGCGTACCGTTACCCAATCACCTGGCTGCTTAGGTAAATTTGGAGGACACTACATGGGGGTTTCCATGGTCTTGTTGGCTCTGGGTACAACAAGATTCTACTCCTGGATGTTCAATTGCCCGAAGCCGGGATTCTAACTCTGACATCCTTGCCCCCGAAGCTGCAAAAATACTACCCTTATTACACATAGCAATTGAAATGACTATGACCTGGATGACTGAGAACCTTCACCAGCTTATTACACATACCATTATCTCTGAAGGAGGCATAGGAATAACTGAATATCTGACATAGAGAGCAGGAGAGAGGAGAGGAAGAAGGAAGAGTTGGAAAAAGAGTCGAGGGAGAGGGAGAAGCCATAGCGATGCTAAGCTAGGCCAGGCCACTTAAGACAGTAGCATATGAGGAGGGAAAGACAATTAGTGTATTTTAATTTAAACCCACCCCAACAGTTGGTATTAACCACACATACAGCAGCATGTGGAGGAAGGGGTGTGTGATGTTTGTCTGGTACCGACTTCTGCTTTGGTGTGTAGCAAGAAAGCAGTGCGAGTAAGGATAAGCAATGGTCAGCTAGAAAGCAGTGCAAGTAAGAATAAGAAGCAATGGTCAGCTAGAAAGCAGTGCGAGTAAGAATAAGAAGCAATGGTCAGCTAGAAAGCAGTGCGAGTAAGAATAAGAAGCAATGGTCAGCTAGAAGGCAGTGCGAGTAAGAATAAGAAGCAATGGTCAGCTAGAAGGCAGTGCAAGTAAGAATAAGAAGCAATGGTCAGCTAGAAAGCAGTGCGAGTAAGAATAAGAAGCAATGGTCAGCTAGAAGGCAGTGCGAGTAAGAATAAGAAGCAATGGTCAGCTAGAAAGCAGTGCGAGTAAGAATAAGAAGCAATGGTCAGCTAGAAAGCAGTGCGAGTAAGAATAAGAAGCAATGGTCAGCTAGAAGGCAGTGCGAGTAAGAATAAGAAGCAATGGTCAGCTAGAAAGCAGTGCGAGTAAGAATAAGAAGCAATGGTCAGCTAGAAGGCAGTGCGAGTAAGAATAAGAAGCAATGGTCAGCTAGAAGGCAGTGCGAGTAAGAATAAGAAGCAATGGTCAGCTAGAAGGCAGTGCGAGTAAGAATAAGAAGCAATGGTCAGCTAGAAGGCAGTGCGAGTAAGAATAAGAAGCAATGGTCAGCTAGAAAGCAGTGCGAGTAAGAATAAGAAGCAATGGTCAGCTAGAAAGCAGTGCGAGTAAGAATAAGAAGCAATGGTCAGCTAGAAAGCAGTGCGAGTAAGAATAAGAAGCAATGGTCAGCTAGAAAGCAGTGCGAGTAAGAATAAGAAGCAATGGTCAGCTAGGAAGCAGTGCGAGTAAGGATAAGAAGCTATGGTCTTGCTCCTTGAACGAGTTAAAAGGAAAAGACGTGGCCAATTTCAGAAAAGTTACAGATTTATTCTGTCTGATGCTGACTTGCAGTTACGTATCCCAGTTTAAACATGAATGTTTCTGCATCAAACCTTGGATTTAATGTAGGTTGGGGTTCATTACTATTTCTCAGTATTTTGATTTGCCATTTAGGCATGATATGACATGATATGACTATGTATAGCTCTAACATTGGCACTACTCATTATGTAAAATCTTTATTATCTCAGTACTATCACGATTACAGCAATAAGATTACTGTATATTCCAACCCTAGAAATTAGAGTAGGTCCTATAGATCAGTGTTTCCCAAACTTTTTTGATTTGTGTTCCCCTTTGGGCAGTTTATCGTACCATAGGTCCCCCTATCAGTCAAAAGTATTGATGACTGTCCAAAAGTGGAACTTACAAGAAATTAAATAAAGACTGCTTTACTTAATATTTTAATTTGAGCATTTAATTTTTATGAATTTATGCTTTTCATCTTAAATAAAAAACATACAACTAAATACATACAAAATAAAATAAAAATATTTACAGCTCAGTCTGAGCAGATTAAAACATATATTCAGAGTTTAACCACATTACAGACACACAGAATACAGAATATACAGAAATATATGTTAAAGCCATGTACTTATTTGGGGCTTTGGCATGTATGGCATTGGTTTGACTTTTAAGGGCAGCTGAAAAAGATTTTTTCGTCATGTCTCCCCAGACTGAATGACTGTAACCTCTCAGAGAGAAGCTGTGAAGTTCTGGCCTCAGTTCTCAGCTCCCAGTCCTCCAATCTTAGAGAAATGGATCTGAGTAACAACAAGCTGCAGGATTCTGGAGTGGAGCTGCTGTCTTCTGGACTGAAGAGTCCAAACTGCAAACTGGAATCTCTCAGGTCTGATATCATTCTTTTTTTAAATACATTTATGTTGAATTTTTATGTGATAAATTTAGTGAGCACCGGAAGATTTTTACTTTAAAAAGTTACACCAAACACAACCCTCCCATCCATCAGTAAACTCTGCTAATGCAGCTTCAGATGAAGGAAACGTGAACTGAACCACAGCTTAGTCTTACTTCCTGATTTTTTAAAGAGAAATACGTTACATAGCTGTGCGTTTCACTCAAATGTTCATCCAAAACAATGCCAGGCTGAATGAAAACATTGCCCATTCTGAAGAAAATCTGCTGAGATCTAAATACTACCTGTAGGATCCAATCAGTTTAAATTAAATTAACAGGGTATCTCAGAGCATAGACTCTGTCCTCATTCTTCCATTAGTGATGTTCTCCAGCAGAGCCAAAGCTGCTATCCTTCCACTGATTATGCAGCCTTCACATATTAGTAACTTTTATGAATTTCTATGGCTAGTCAACATTATGAATCTTCACACCTGGCTTGTTAAGAATCACTCTACTGATCCTCCACCATTTCTTTTTTTAGGAGAAAATTAAAATGACCCTTCAAGAAAATACTTTGCTTCTCAGCAAAAGACAAACAGCTTTTCAGAGCAGATTTTAAATGGCTGCTGCAGAGGCCTTGCACCAGTAAAGCATTCCATATTGCAGTTCCGTCTATATAGATTGAAGGAAAATTTCAAGTTTAAAAAAGTCACACAACATAGACATTTCTGTTTCATCTGTACTGTTTAATATGTAACTTTTTATTTTATTTTATTCGATCACAGTTCTTCATTGCTCTCTCTATCTCCCCAGACTGAATGACTGTAACCTCTCAGAGAGAAGCTGTGAAGCTCTGGCCTCAGTTCTCAGCTCCCAGTCCTCCAATCTTAGAGAAATGGATCTGAGTAACAACAAGCTGCAGGATTCTGGAGTGGAGCTGCTGTCTTCTGGACTGAAGAGTCCAAACTGCAAACTGGAATCTCTCAGGTCTGATATCATTCTTTTTTAAATACATTTATGTTGAATTTTTATGTGATAAATTTAGTGAGCACCGGAAGATTTTTACTTTAAACAGTTACACCAAACACAACCCTCCCATCCATCAGTAAACTCTGCTAATGCAGCTTCAGATGAAGGAAATGTGAACTGAACCACAGCTTAGTCTTACTTCCTGATTTTTTAAAGAGAAATACGTTACATAGCTGTGCGTTTCACTCAAATATTCATCCAAAACAATGCCAGGCTGAATGAAAACATTGCCCATTCTGAAGAAAATCTGCTGAGATCTAAATACTACCTGTAGGATCCAATCAGTTTAAATTAAATTAACAGGGTATCTCAGAGCATAGACTCTGTCCTCATTCTTCCATTAGTGATGTTCTCCAGCAGAGCCAAAGCTGCTATCCTTCCACTGATTATGCAGCCTTCACATATTAGTAACTTTTATGAATTTCTATGGCTAGTCAACATTATGAATCTTCACACCTGGCTTGTTAAGAATCACTCTACTGATCCACCACCATTTCTTTTTTTAGGAGAAAAATTAAAATGACCCTTCAAGAAAATACTTTGCTTCTCAGCAAAAGACAAACAGCTTTTCAGAGCAGATTTTAAATGGCTGCTGCAGAGGCCTTGCACCAGTAAACCATTCCATATTGCAGTTCCGTCTATATAGATTGAAGGAAAATTTCAAGTTTAAAAAAGTCACACAACATAGACATTTCTGTTTCATCTGTACTGTTTAATATGTAACTTTTTATTTTATTTTATTCGATCACAGTTCTTCATTGCTCTCTCTATCTCCCCAGACTGAATGACTGTAACCTCTCAGAGAGAAGCTGTGAAGCTCTGGCCTCAGTTCTCAGCTCCCAGTCCTCCAATCTTAGAGAAATGGATCTGAGTAACAACAAGCTGCAGGATTCTGGAGTGGAGCTGCTGTCTTCTGGACTGAAGAGTCCAAACTGCAAACTGGAATCTCTCAGGTCTGATATCATTCTTTTTTAAATACATTTATGTTGAATTTTTATGTGATAAATTTAGTGAGCACCGGAAGATTTTTACTTTAAACAGTTACACCAAACACAACCCTCCCATCCATCAGTAAACTCTGCTAATGCAGCTTCAGATGAAGGAAATGTGAACTGAACCACAGCTTAGTCTTACTTCCTGATTTTTTAAAGAGAAATACGTTACATAGCTGTGCGTTTCACTCAAATATTCATCCAAAACAATGCCAGGCTGAATGAAAACATTGCCCATTCTGAAGAAAATCTGCTGAGATCTAAATACTACCTGTAGGATCCAATCAGTTTAAATTAAATTAACAGGGTATCTCAGAGCATAGACTCTGTCCTCATTCTTCCATTAGTGATGTTCTCCAGCAGAGCCAAAGCTGCTATCCTTCCACTGATTATGCAGCCTTCACATATTAGTAACTTTTATGAATTTCTATGGCTAGTCAACATTATGAATCTTCACACCTGGCTTGTTAAGAATCACTCTACTGATCCACCACCATTTCTTTTTTTAGGAGAAAAATTAAAATGACCCTTCAAGAAAATACTTTGCTTCTCAGCAAAAGACAAACAGCTTTTCAGAGCAGATTTTAAATGGCTGCTGCAGAGGCCTTGCACCAGTAAACCATTCCATATTGCAGTTCCGTCTATATAGATTGAAGGAAAATTTCAAGTTTAAAACAGCCACACAACATAGACATTTCTGTTTCATCTGTACTGTTTAATATGTAACTTTTTATTTTATTTTATTCGATCACAGTTCTTCATTGCTCTCTCTATCTCCCCAGACTGAATGACTGTAACCTCTCAGAGAGAAGCTGTGAAGCTCTGGCCTCAGTTCTCAGCTCCCAGTCCTCCAATCTTAGAGAAATGGATCTGAGTAACAACAAGCTGCAGGATTCTGGAGTGGAGCTGCTGTCTTCTGGACTGAAGAGTCCAAACTGCAAACTGGAATCTCTCAGGTCTGAACATGAATCCAGAACACACTTGAAGCCTTGTTTTATAACACAATGTATGCTGAATGCTTATTTTATTAACTTAGTGAGCCTTGGAGCAATAATTACTGAGACTTTTAAAGATTACCCCAAAACATATTGGACTCCCAGTCATCACTAAACTCTGCTAGTTCACTTTTAGATGAAGGGAAAGGTGGACTGAAGCTGAACTTGATGTTTATATTTAGATCTTATAATAGAAATGAGTAATTTAGCTCTGCATTTGACTGAATTCCTCTCCTAAAACAATGTCAAGTCAAAAACATCGTTGGTCCTGGTTAAAGACCTGCTGGGATCCAAATGGCTACTTGTAAGATCCAGTTAATCTAAACACCTTCAATTCAATTAAGTTTATTTGTATAGCGCCAATTCACAACACATATTATCTCAAGACACTTTACAGTTTCCTAGATCATACAATCAAATTAATTTAAAGTATTTTATATAAGGTAAACCAGTTGATTGCATCAACTCATTGACTCGAATGCAATCCCTCACACTAAGCATGCTTGTAGCGACAGTGGAGAGGAAAAACTCTCTTTTAACAGGAAGAAACCTCAAGCAGAACCAGGGTCAGTGTGAGCGGCCCTCTGCCGAGGCCTACTTGGGTTCAAAGACAAAAGCAACTGTAAAAGGCGGCCCTGTCCAGGAAACACCCAGCCAGGCAGACAAGCTCCAAGTCAACTCCCATGTCAGAGGATGAAGAGAGCACATCCAGCCAGCCACAGTCAGAGAAACAGGGCTACACTGGAAAAGAGGCCGATCTTTAACATCTACAAACAAGGTTGTTGATGGCAGCAGCACAGCTGATATTTCTCTCCAGGATGGTGTCAAAGCTAAACAGGAACAGACGAGGCAAAGCTATTATGAGAAAAAGCAGAGAGAGCAGAACGTTAGAGATTGAACTAACAGATTCTGCAGAGTGGGAGAATACAGATAGAATGAAGCAGAATGTTGAAAAAGGGGTCCCTATGTCCTCCAGAAGTCTAAGCCTATAGCAGCATAACTATAGAGATAGCTCAGGATAACCTGAGCCACTCTAACTATAAGCTACATCAAAAAGGAAAGTTTTAAGCCTAGCCTTAAAAGTAGACAGGGTGTCTGCCTCACTGACTAAAACTGGTAGTTGGTTCCACAGGAGAGGAGCCTGATAACTAAAATATCTGCCTCCCATTCTACTTAGAAATTCTAGGAACCACTAGTAAACCTGCAGATTTAGAGCGAAGTGCTCTGTTAGGAACATAAGGAACAATCAGATCTCTGATATAAGATGGAGCTTGGCCATTTAAGGCTTTATATGTGAGAAGGAGGATTTTAAATTCTATTCTGGATTTAACAGGAAGCCAATGAAGAGAAGCTAGTATAGGAGAGATATGATCTGTCTTTTTAATTTTCATCAGAACTCTAGCTGCAGTATTTTGGATCAACTGAAGGCTTTTTACTGCAGTTTGTGGACTTCCTGATAGTAAAGAATTACAATAGTCCAGCCTTGAAGTAAGAAAAGCATAGACTAGTTTCTCAGCATCACCCCTGGACAGGATATTTCTAATTTCTGCAGTATTCCACAGTTGAAAGAAGGAATTTCTAGAAACCTCTTTGATATGGGATTTAAATGACAGGTCCTGATCAAAAACAACACCAAGATTTTTTAGCTGAAATCAGTTTAATCCCATCCAAATGAAGTGACAGACCAATCAGCTTATTTTTCAAAGAGACTGGTCCAAAGACTATAACTTTTGTTTTGTCTGCATTCAAAAGCAGAAAGTTAAGAGTCTCCAGGTTTTTTCGTTTTCAAGACATGCCTGTAATCTATGTAATGGGTTACTTTCATCTGGATTTATAGACAGATATAGCTGTTGTATCATCAGCATAACAGTGAAAATTAATCCCATGCTGTCTAATAACTCTACCGATCGGGAACATATATATAATAAAGAGAATTGGTCCTAGCACTGATCCCTGTGGTATTCCACAGGTAAGCTTTCAGCATGAGGAAGATTTGTCATTAACGTGAACAAATTGAAATAGATTAGATGAGATTTAAACCACTCTAGAGCTGTTCCTTTAATTCCAACAAAATATTCAAGTCTTTCTTAAGAATGTTATGTATAATTGTATCAAATGCAGCACTGAGATATAACAGGACAAGCAAAAATACAAGTCCATTATTTGAGTCCATGAAAAAATCATTAGCAACCTTCACCAGAGCTGTTTCATTGCTATGAGGAGCTGTAAAGCAAGAATGAAACTTTTCAAAAAGTACATTATGGTGTAAGTGATTGCACACTTGTTTGGCAACTACTTTCTCAAGAATTTTAGATAAGAAAGGATGATTGGATATAGGTCTATAATTGACCATGTGATCTGGGTCAAGAGACGGTTTCTTAAGCAAAGGTTTAATTACCGCAACCCTAAAAGCCGTTGGTACATATCTCTGCAACAGAGATAGATTAATCACATCTAAAATGAAGGAGGAGATCAAAGTGAATACCTCCTTAAATAACCTGGTTGGAACAGGATCTAACATACAAGTTAGATGAAGACAATAGTTTTGCTAACTCTGAAAGATCAACTTGATCAAAGAAGTCTAAATCCGGTTCAGACTCCATTACTACCTCAGACGCTTCCTCACCTTCCAGAGGTAAACCAATAGTAGATAGAGGAGTGCTAATGCTCTTATATTTAATAATTTCAATCTTATTTATAAAGATTCCCATAAAATCTTTACTACTAAGAGCAGGTGGAATGGACGGTTCAACAGAGCCATGGCTCTGGGTGAGATTGGCAACTGTATTAAAAAGGTATCTAGGATTATTCTTTATTTCCTCTATTGATGAGGGGCTGCATTTTCTAAGGCAGTACACAGAGAACTAGCAACCCCATCAATGCAATCATGAACCTGTCAAAGGGAATTAACTAAGCTTTTGCACTCTGCAGCACTGCTCAGTGAAACAAAAGAGAGAGAAAGTAAAACAGATTCTTGAAAATTTATAACTGCACTATCAGATAATGATCTGCTAAGTTGAAACCTTCTTTTGGGGGAGGATAACTCTGTTAAAGTAATCCTGAAGGTTATTAAAAAGTGGTCAGAGAGGGCAGGGTTGTGAGGAAATATCGTTATTACCTCACATTCTATGCCACATGTCAGCATAAGATCCAAAGTATGAAGATGAGAATGTGTGAGACTACTCACATTTTGAAAAAAGCCAATAGCGCCTAAGATATTATTAAAGTTTGCTCTTAAGCTATCACCTTGAATGTCAGCATGAATGTTAAAATCCCCCACTATGATGACCCTGTCAGTATTTAATACCAAATCAGATAGGAACTAAAAATTCAGAGTAAGTACTTTTGGACGATACAAAGTTACAAAAATAAGAGGTTTTCTTGCTTTGCACTTTGGTTGACGGAAACTAAAGGTTAAATGTTTAAAAGAGTTGTAAGTATTAACTGCCTATGGATTAATAAGTAAGTCAGACTGAAAAATTTTTGCTACACTCCTCCTTGAGTAAAGAGTGGGTAACAGTATAGAAGCTACAGAGATGTGTGTTAAACTATGACTCTGCTTCCTGGTCTGCACCCTGGGTGGTCAGGGTTTTTGAGGACTAATAAATGTGGCCAGATTCCTAGAAAGAAGAGCTGCAGCATCCAAAGTGGGATGTATGCCGTCTCTCCCAATAAGACCAGGCTTTCCCCAAAAGGATTGGCAATTATTAATGTAGCCCACCTTGTTTTCAGGACACCTCCTAGACAACCAGCGGTTGATTGACGACATGTGGCTAAACATGTCATCACTGGTCAGATCAGAGAGGGGAGCAGAGAAAATTACGGAGTCCAACATTGTTTTGGCAAACTTACACTCCGAAGCAACACTAATTTTAGTGACCTCCGATCGGCAAAACCGGGTGTCATTACCGCAAGCATGAATAGCAATCTTAATGTATTTAACCTTATCCTTAGCCAGCTGTTTCAGGTAGGATTTGATGTCGCCTGTTCTGGCCCCCGGCAAACATTTGACTATGGTCCCTGGTGTCTCTAATGCCACGTTTCTGACTATGGAGCTGCCAATTACCAGAGTGGGCTTCTCAGTGGGTGTGTCACTGAGTGGGGGAAATCAGTTAGAAACGTGAATGGGTTGGATGGTGACCAGTGGGCAGAGATCCACGACTATGCTTTCGGAGTATGGTTACCCAATCGCCTGGCTGCTCATGTACTTTGGACGAAAGCCATGTGGGGGGCCTACTTTAAAGGGGAACTTCGATTTTTTTTAATTGGGCCCTTGATTTTACTTTATTACATCATGTTCTACTCACCCATATAAGTTTTGTGTCATTTGGCGCCGTTGTCGGTTAGGTTATATCCAAGTAACATCTTCCTATGGGCAAACGACTTTAAAGCACAAACTAAACTGTTCATCATTCATTCTTTATGGTACGCCAGCATTTATAACATGTAGGCGAATCACTGTACCCCAGACATCCGTGGTTATATTTTCTATATTTATATTATATTCACTCCGGCTACCATTTATTCATCCTGTCCACTGAACTGCTGCTAGTTTTACTCACATGCCTGAAAGATGTCTAGTGCTACTACTTCAGATGATCTTGCTCCCGAAATGGAATTGAATAGAAGCTAGCCGAATGAATAGAAGGACTAGAGCGTAGCCGCCTGTGGCCAGGGCTTCCTGTTACGACTCGAGTCCGGATGCGTGGATGACGTCCTACACGTGCTGCTTTGTTTTTAAAATATATAAATATAAAAAATATACCTGCGGATGTCTGGGGGGCAGTGATTCGCCTACATGTTATAAATGCTGGCGTACCATAAAGAGTAAATTCTGAACAGTTTAGTTTCCCTTTGACTTCTGGATGTACAACAGCCTGAGGCCTGGATTCTAACTCTGATACCCTTGCCTCTAAAGCTAAACAATGCTACACTTATTACACATACCAATTGGAATGACAATGACCTGGAAGACTGAGAACCTTCACCAGCTTATTACACATACCATTATCACTAAAGGAGGCATAGGAATAACTGAATATCTGACATAGAGAGCAGGAGAGAGGAGAGGAAGAAGTAAGAGTTGGAAGAGTCAAGGGAGGGAGGGAGAGAAGCCATAGCGATGCTAAGCTAGTGCCAGCCTAGGCTAGCTACTCCTTACTAACAGAAATAAAACCATGTGAAACTATGAAAAGTGCTCACTGGAGAAGTTCAACAAAAGGCGCTATGTTTTAAAGTGGTTCTGGACAATTAGAAGTAATTAGATACAGAGATATCACAGAAAAAAGAACTTAATTCAGAAGCAGATAGTCTGAACAACAACAACACTGTTCTGTAGTCCAAACAGGAAGTGAACATGATACGTCTCACTAAAAGCAGCAGTAGCACCCTATAGTGGCAGGGAAGGCAGTCATTTTCCTTCCATGCCATGAAATGTGATGACAAACAGGAAAGCAATCTATTTGAGAGCTAAATAAAAGACACCCACAGATGTGCTTCTATTAAATTCTGAGTTTTAGAGTTAACCTACAAAGTCATGACTTCATCATGTCTAAACGTAGACAGACCAAGAGCTTCCAACAACAGAGGAGAATTATGGCTAGGTTGTTATTTTGCACTTGACTTCAAACAAGCTTAGAAGAACACAATGTTTCACAGCTTATCCCACTTTCATACATTCATTTTTAAACATGTTTCAAATATTGCTTTATACATTTTTAGTGCCTAATCACCTTTATTATAACAGTAATCAGTGCTGGATATTAAAGGTAAATTCCCTAAGAAAAAGTTCTGTCAGGGTTCAGTGGAACATACAGTAATTACTGACCCAATATAGAGTTTAAATTTTCATCAAAACAAACTTTGATCATCTTGACTGTTTGTGGATGGAGGAAAGGTGTTTTATCCAAATAACATCAGTTTTTTCTTCTTTATTTTGTTTCTCAGACTTAGATCCTGTAGCCTCTCAGAGAGAACTTGTGAAGTTCTGTTATCAGTTCTTAGCTCTGAGTCCTGCTGTCTGAGAGAGGTTGACCTGGAGAACAACAACCTCCAAGATTCAGGGGAGAAGTTGCGTAATTACCTGAAGAAATCCTCTGCTCCAGAGAAGGCTCTTCTCCCACTGCTGCCAGTGGTCAAAGCTTCAGATAAAGTTCTGTAAGTACTGATAGAATATGGGCTTAGCACTAGGAACAAACATAGTCACTATAGAAGAAGATGATTCCTTCAAAGTGTAACTGTGATTAACTGAACAATATCATGGTCTGATGGTTCTTAGAGTCTATTATATAATCATTCTTTTTCTTGTCTGTTTTCTGTCACTTAGCTTATATTTTGTTTTAACCCCTTTATGTGTCTGCAAACAAATCCAGGTAAAAGGTTGCTCTATAAAAAAAATACCTTATTAAATATTGATCATCTGCCCATGGTTATCATGTGTATGTAGGTGATGATTTACATATTTTGTGTGATGTGACACCTCTTCCAGTAAGGTCCAGTAATTACCTGGTGTCTCCTTCACACACTGATCTGCCTCAGGGTTTTGAAATGTATTGCTTTGCTTCAGAGTTGTGTTATAGATAAAGAGATCACTTGGGACAAACTTTAAATAACACTTCATAACTTTTATGTATGAAATAACCAGGAGACAGAACAACGGAATTTGATATAAAATGTAATCTTACTCAGATCATAGAAATGGCTTAAAATATGCAGAATGGCAGCTGCTCACCTCTGGGCTCACCTCTTAGGAAGTGGCCCTGATTAACAGTTTAAAAGGCATTTTATACATCTCCAGTCTGCAACATCATGATATTTTACATGAGACACATTAGCAGATGATTAGACATCCATGGCTCCAGCCTTATGAAAATAGGACACCGCTCTCATTCCATTTCCAAATCTTTGCCACGTACAAAATGAAGATTATAACTGTATATCCACACAGCAGTTGTCCTAATTAGATTAAAACATAACTTCTGATGCACAACAGGCAGCCCATACCAGGGTGTGATAATTCAATGATAATTATCCTAAAAGTTTCTTAGTTTTTCTTTATTTTATACAACTGATTCATCCGTTCAGTTTAATATACATTTTTGTGTTTGTTTTATTCAATCGTAGTTCTTCATTTCTCTCTCTGTCTCCTCAGACTGAATGACTGTAACCTCTCAGAGAGAAGCTGTGAAGTTCTGGCCTCAGTTCTCAGCAGCCAGTCCTCTACTGTAAGAGAGATGGATCTGAGTAACAACAAGCTGCAGGATTCTGGAGTGGAGCTGCTGTCTTCTGGACTGAAGAGTCCAAACTGCAAACTGGAAACTCTCAGGTTCATACATTTTTAGTGCCTAATCACCTTTATTATAACAGTTATCAGTGCTGGATATAAAAGGTAAATTCCCTAAGAAAAGGTTCTTACAGGGTTCAGTGGAACATAAAGTAATTACTGACCCAATATAGAGTTTAAATTTTTATCAAAACAAACTTTGATCATCCTGACTGTTTGTGGATGGAGAAAAGTTTTTTTTATCCAAATAACATCTGTTTTTTCTTCTTTAACTTGTTTCTCAGACTTAGATCCTGTAACCTCTCAAAGAGAACTTGTCAAGTTCTGTTATCAGTTCTTAGCTCTGAGTCCTGCTGTCTGAGAGAGGTTGACCTGGAGAACAACAACCTCCAAGATTCAGGGGAGAAGCTGCAGGATTACCTGAAGAAAGTTCTGTAAGTAATGATAGAATACGGGTTTAGGCACTAGCAACAAAAATAGTCACTATAGAAGAAGAAGATTCCTTCAAAGTGTAACTGGGTGATTAACTGAACAATATCATGGTCTGATGGTTCGTAGAATCTATTATATAATATTCCTTTTGCTTATGTGGTTTTGGTCGGTTTCCTTATGTTTTGTTGTTCATCCTTCATTTGTCTGCAAACAAAACCAGGTAAAAGGTTGCTCTATAAAAAAAAATAAATATATTGAAAAATAAAAAGCGTAACCTTTGAAGACGTTGCAGTGCTATGATCCAACACTAAGTCAAAAGTTAAGCATTTTATTTTTCCATTTCAAATCTTGCACATGATTTCTTGGAGGGACAATTTGGACTCCTGTCATCTGAGGATGGTCTGTGCCTAGCAGTCAAAGGACTCCCTACTGCATCAGGTATCCCTCTGCCTGATGATGGATTTCCTCTTTTTGGAGTTTTGGGTGTTGTGTCCATCTGATTTGAAAAGAGAAGAATCAATATTCATCCCAGTTTGGATCAGTGAGAGACAGAAACTAGTTAGACAGCAAAGAGATGGTTCTGACCCAACTTCTGATCCTGTGTTTGTGATGGACCTCCATGAACATCCTCAGTTTTAGTAGGACAGACCCACCCTGTTGGTAGTGAACTATTTCAGTGATGAAGAAATGTCTCCACAGACGGAGGAAGAGCAGCAAACTTCAGCGTGGAGAAAGAGATGGAACCAGAGCTGGACAGCTGATGGCCAATAACAGCAGCTGTGCAGCAGGTAAGACTGAACATCTCCAATCAGAGCTTCCTTCTATTGTCTCTGTTGAACCCTGACAACAGATCACTGATTACAGGATTTACAACATGGAATCATTCTAAGAATATGTTGTTTCTGTCATACAGCAGCAGCTGATCCAGACGCTGCCGCTTGCATCCTCAATAGAACTAAGAAAGTGGAGAACATCAGCCCAGTTCTAAAGTGTTTCCACTGACTCCCATATCTCAGAGAATAGACTTTAAAATACCTCTGTTAGTGTGTTCATTAATGAATTAATCAGCAGAAGCAGCTTTTACTTCTATTACCATATACCTATCCAGGAATATGAGCAAACTCCCAAAAACTGTAAAAGTGCTGAAACTATCACCTTCTTTAAATCACAATTAAAAAACTTTTGTCGTCCGGAGGGGTGCATGGGTGGTCGCGCCTGTGGCCGGGGTTCGTGTGTGTCTGTTGTGGGCTGGTTGAGGGCGTCGGGGGGTCCCTTTGGAGTGCCCCCGGGTCGGGGGTGTGGCTTCGCTCTGTTGGGGCGGGTGCGCGGTTTGGGAGTGGAGGGTTGCTCGGTGTTTGGCAGCGGGGGGGGCAGGCCGTGGCCAGCGCGGCCATCCTCCTCTCGGCGGCCCGTGGGCGGTGCAAGGCCGGAGCGGGTTGGGTCATGCTGCTTTCGCGGCGGGGTCGCGTCTGCTGCTTTCTTTTTGCTGCTTGTGCCGGCTTCTGGCAGCTGGGGCGGCCTTGCTGCTCTGGCTCTCTGGCGTGCGCCGGGCGGGGCTGCTCTATCCTTTGTTTTGCCTTGCAGCTGTGTTTGCTGTGGTCGGTGGGGGCGGAGTGGTTTCGTAGTGTTTTTGGGTGGGAGAATCCGCCTGGGGTCTTGGTTGGTGCCGTCGGTTTGTCCATATCAGCCTTCCGGTGTTGTTTCTGTTGGGGCCGCTCGGGCCCCCGCATGCCGGCGGTGCGCTGTCGGAGGGATTCCTGTTCGGCGGGCTTGCTTGTCTCCTGGAGGGCAGGCATGTTGACTTTTCTGGGGAGGAGCATCTGGGTGGAGGGGTCCTTGCGGTGTGGCTGTGGGTGTTGGACACTGGCTTGTTGTGGGCTGGGAGGGGGAGTTTTTTTTGTGTGTGGGGGGGTGTGAGCAGGGGAATCGGAGCTTCGAGTGGGGCTCGGGATTTGCGCTTTACTGTGTTGTGTGGCTTTCTTCTTCTTCGGATTCGTGTTGTGGGACCGGTGTCGGGGGGGAGTCGTTCGGGGGCCGGTGTCGGGGTAGGGGTGCTGGTGCCGGCGCCGGTGGTTTTTGGGCATTGCCCGGCCTTATTGCTGGGTGGGTCTGGGTTGGGTCCTGGGGTCTGGGATCCCTGGGGCGTGTTGCCCTTGGGCAGGGACCCCGGTGGGGTTTTGGGGGTTCGGGTTCTGTGGGGAGTGCTGCTTGGGGTCTGGGCCGGTGTACGCCCGGCTGTCTGCCCCTGCTGCCACGGCCTCTCGTGTGCCGGGGTGTCTCGGGGCCTGTTGGGCTGGGGGGGGCATGGACATTAACACCTATGGCAAATGCTTACCCCCTCACGGGTTTGCACTCTGTAAGTGGGGGAAGGGGAGGGAGGGGGAGTAGGAATGATCTCGGCCTGGATGTCTTCTGTCGCTTGTGTGGTGAGTAGCTTGATTGTTATTGTAGTGGAGGGATTAGATCTCTGGAGGGGGTGGGCGGAGGGGGGGTGATAGTGGGAAGAAGATCTTGGAACGGCTTCGGGTCTGGCTCCCTGTCTTGTTCCTGGTCCATGCTGCCCCCTGGTGGGGCTTCGTCCGGGGTGGGGGCTCTGCGTATTGCGCGTGGGCTGGCCGGCTGGGGTTGTCCCCCCCTTATTTATTTATTTATGATTATTATTTTTTTTTCTTTTTATAATTATTATTTTTTTTTTTTCCTTTCATTTATTTATTTATTTTAATTATTATTTATTGTATTCATTTTTTATTTATTTTTATTTATTTTGTTATTTATTTATTTATTTTTTGGCTCCGTGCCCGGCTGGCTGGTGGGTCCTGCTGCCGGTCCCGTGCCCCCGGGCTACGGTGGTGAAACTGGTGGGGCCCCCCTCTCTGGAGGGGCTCTCGGTGCCTATTGGAGTCAGCGGGGGAGCTGGCTCCCTGGGAGTGCAGCAAGCACCCCAGTCCTTTGCTCCCCATCCCTGAAATCCTCCCTCTGCCTGCTCCATCACTCTGCCACACATGTAGGTTTTTGGGGAGGGGGTCGTTACTGGAGGGCCACACCTTCTGATGACGTCCCCCACCCCAATTTTATTTTGCTTTAAGACACTTCCATCTACATCATTTTCACAACACACATCTATGTAGGGCATTTTTGGGGGTGGGGGTCAGGGCCACCTGGGGAGGGCTTATTTTATGGGCCTCACCACGGTCGGCCTCCTCCATCCCCTCTCGCATCTAGACACTGAGGGTTCAGGGTTGTCGAAGGGGGGGGTGTGCTGGCACCGTCTATCTCCTGGAGGGGGGGTGGACTGTGCCGGACACCCCCTCTTGGTACTCCCAGTTTTAATTACATCTGAGAGCAACACGCAACAACACCACATTCGAGCAGGCGCAGGGAGGATCTGGGTCTTCTTACACCCCTGTTCTCCGGCTGCCGCCCGGAGTCTGGGGAATGGAGGAAGAACGAGCCACCTGGTCCGTGGTTTTGGCTGGGGCCGGCTGCGGGGCCTAGGTGGCCTGCCGGTGGCAGGGCTGTCACCTCTGCTCTCCCCAAAAAAGGTTAGAAGGAGGGGCATGAAGTGCCTGGTTGAAGTGTTTTTTGTTTTGTTTTTTCTTGGGGGGCGTTTCTGGTTGGGTGGCCTGCGCGGGATGGGTGGGCCCCGGTCCTGGGGGGGGCTCTTGCTGGGGGTGGTCCGGTCCGTGTGCGGGGTGGGGGGCCGGGCTTGAAGCAGGAATAAGATGGGTTGGTGGGGTGTTGCCGCTGCCCTCCCCCCACATCCGGATTTTAGGTTCACTTATTGGGTCAACCGATAGTCGATATTATTGAGGGGGGTTTGGGGTAGCGGCGGACGTGGCTCTGCTGCTTTGGCTTCGTACGGTGGGGGAGCGGCATGGTTCGCTCCGCTCTGGCTTTGTGCTGCCCCTCGGGCTGATGGGGGGGGGGGTTAGCGATGGCTGCGGTCTGCTCTCTTGCGGTTTTTGCGCTGGGCGGCTTTTCTGCTCTTGGGTTGATTCTGTGCGCGGTGTGTTCATTGCGCGCTGTTGGCATCGGTCTTGGTGGGGTGGGGCTCTCCACAACCACTATTGAGCATTTTTTCTATGGTTAAAACTTTACATGCACAAGTTCACCCTCACAAACAACTACAGGTGCTAGGCTTCAGGTACTTAGAGATTCACTTCCAAAGAGAAACCCCACATTCATATCTTCAGGTAACACAGAGTACATGTCAGACTTAATATTACTTTAGCGATAGTTTCAAGGTGTTGCTTTATTGTATATCTCGTACCATGTCTTTTGGTTGTGCTGTTCTTTTTACCTCTCGTTACAGGTGATGAAGCAGACTGAAAATGTTTTGTCATTGTCTCCTTCCTATCTCCTCTTTCTTTCATCTTTTCTTCTTTTTTTCTTTTTTTTCCTTCTTCTGTTTTTCTGTTTTACTTACATTGCAGTGTCCATATAAACTGTAAAACTCCCTGCATAATTATAATAAATCAATTTATATGCATGAAACAAGTGGAGCAGTATGGCAATTGCCATACTGCTACACTTGTGAAAGTAAAATCAGTTGGGCTCCTTTTGGCATCAAGACAATTATTCTTATTGCCACAATGCCAGACAGGACACTGTAAAAAATAAATAAATAAATAAAAAAAGGATCAACTAGGACCATTGATGCAGATTATTATAAACAAATACTAGGATGCATCTGATTTTAATGATTAGCATAATGCCATAACTGAGTGGCTAGGCGGCTCCAAGCAGTTCCTGCAGCTCTGCCCAGTTCACCACTGATTAGGGTGTAGGTATAATGTGCAGGAAAACTGGGATACAAGAATTTAGACATTTTTAGATTTTGTTTGTTGCAAGTTTTAGGATTTCCTGCTTGGATGATGCAATGACCTCCTAGCTTAGATTTCTTGGTATAAAAAAATATTAGTTTTCTGTAAATAATAAATGTTTCCATCACAGAATATCAGAAACATGTTTTATTCTTTGTTTGGCTGAAATGTTTCATCTCATTTCTTTGTTTCTTCATTCAGATGTTGATGGTCAATGTCAACATGACCTTAAAGTTTCTCTTAAAGAGAAGTTTGAATGGATTTCTGGAGGCATTGCTAAAGCTGAAGAGAAAACCTTTCTGGATGACGTCTACACAGAGCTCCACATCACAGAGGGAAAGACTAGAGCGGTCAATGAAGAACATGAGGTCAGAAGGATTGAAGCATCAATCTGTGAACAAAACAGACCAGGAAAAACAATCAGACCAGAAGACATCTTCAATCCACCTGGAGGAAGGGATCGGATCAGAACCGTGATGACGATGGGCGTGGCTGGCATTGGGAAAACAGTTTTAACACAGAAGTTCACTCTGGACTGGGCTGAAGGCAGAACCAACCAGAACATCCAGTTCATATTTCCATTCACATTCAGAGAGCTGAATGTTCTGAAAGAGGAAAAGTTCAGTTTGGTGGAACTTGTTCATCACTTCTTTACTGAAAAGGAATCTGCAGCTTTGATCACTTCCAGGTTCTGTTCATCTTTGATGGTCTGGATGAGAGTCAACTTTCTTTGGACTTCCATCGCAATAAGATCCTGACTGATGTTGCAGAGTCCACCTCAGTGGATGTTCTGCTGACTAACCTTATCAGGGGAAAACTGCTTCCCTCTGCTCTCCTCTGGATAACCACACGTCCTGCAGCAGCCAATCAGATCCCTTCTGAGTGCGTTGGGATGGTGACAGAGGTCAGAGGTTTCAATGACCCACAGAAGGAGGAATACTTCAGGAAGAGATTCAGAGATGAGGAGCTGGCCAACAGGTCCATCTCCCACATTAAAAGATTAAAAAGTCTCTTCATTATGTGTCACATTCCCGACTTCTGCTGGATCATTGCTGATGTTCTGGAGGGTTTCTTGGAGACCAGAGATGGAGGAGAGCTGCCAACGACCCTGACTGGGATATACATCCACTTCCTGCAGCTTCAGATCAAACAGAAAATGATCAAATATGATGGACATAAGACAGAGTTCCAATGGACTCCAGAGAACATCAAGATGGTTCAGTCTCTGGGAAAACTGGCCTTTGAAGGGCTGCTGGAAGTAAAAGTGATCTTCTATCAGTCAGACCTGGAAAAGTGTGGCATCAACATCAAAAAGGCTTCGTGGTTCTCAGGAGTGTTCACTGAGATCTTTAAAGAGGAGAAAAAGATGGACAACACCTCAGTCTACTGCTTTGTTCATCTGAGCTTCCAGGAGTTTTTGGCTGCACTCTACTTGCTCCACTGCTTCACCAACAGGAACACAGAGGTGGTGGAGAACTTCCTGGGAGAAAAATACACAGAAACATCTCTAGAGGACTTTATGAAGAAAGTCATGGAGAAATCCCTCAGGAATAAAAATGGCCACCTGGACCTGTTTGCTCGCTTCCTTCATGGCCTGTCTGTGGATTCCAACCACAGCCTCTTAGGAGGCCTGCTGGGTCAGATCGAGAACAGTCCAGAAACCATCCAGAGAGTCATCAACAATCTGAAGAAGATTAACAATGGTAGATTATCTGTTGTTAAAACCATCAACATCTTCCACTGTCATCAGGAAATGGGGGACCTCTTAGATTATCGGAAGATCCAGGACTTCCTGAAATCAGAGAAGTATGTCCCAGAGATCCTGTGCTCAGCTCTGGCCAACATACTGCAGATGTCATGGGAGGTCATGGATGAGTTAGACCTGGAGAAGTACAACACAACAGAGAATGGACGTTGGAGACTGTTTCCAGCTTTGAGTAACTGCAAAAAGGCTCGGTGAGTCCAGATGTCTTCATTGTGTGATGCTGATTCAGCTCTATTGTCCTCCTCTCAGCCATTGGCTGTTAAAGACAGAGAGGAACCATGATCCGAAAATATGCTGAAGGTTAAAGAGAAAATAGATGAATAGAAAATCTTTGATGCTTCTTGGTTGATTTTTGATCCTAACATCTAACATACTACTGTTAGGATATTAGTATGAAGGTAAATATGTGCCAAAATGAACGAACTTGTGAATTTAATGTGAAAACTTGAGAATGCAATGTGAGAATTTGTACCACAAAAATCTGAACTTGTATGCCAAAATGTTCTGCTGTAAAGAAAAACCGCACACACACAAACTGAATTTGAAGTTGCACTAAAAGAAATATCAGGCAAGAACATGTAAAAAAAAATTACACTTGTCAGTCCAATCTTCACCTGAAGAGGATTTTCACTCAAATCTGATTTAAATTTGAATGCACAAAAAAACTATTTACTGGTGTGTTCATATAGTTTTACACAAATAAAATTACAGCTGACAAATGATTATTGATAGTTTATTTGTAATTATTATTTTTTTGCATATGTTAATCTTGCATTACAACCTCAATTTAGCCATTACAGCTTCTTGAATCTGCTGCTTCAAGAACACAAACGCGCTCTCGCGAGACACAGCACGTTGACACCGCGCTTTGACTTTTGTCACATTTCTTGCGAGATATTTGTGCCAAAACGAACTTGTGTTTGAAGATGTGAGAGCAAATGTGGGGGGGAAGGGGGGGGGGGGGTGTTCTATAGGCCAACCAATCACAGGCTGCGTCTCAATTCGCAGGCTGCGTACTTCCTGGTGCACTTCCTGGTTACGACACGACGTCATCACGTTTACCCCAAAAACAGCGCCAAACAAAATCCGACAGTTCGAGAAATACGGAAAGAAACAACAAAAACAAAGAAATATATATGGAATTTTTTTTTTTTTTTCTTGTTATTGGAGGAGGAGAGTCGCTTTGACGGCTTCGGCGGCAGCAAAACCTGCGACGGATTTTTCTCAGGCTGGCAGAGCGCAGTGGAGAGGTAAGATCTACCTGCTATTCTAACCCACAGGGGCCTGCTAATGATCAGAATATACCAGTTATTAAATAAACGCTTGTCAGCAGATTGATGAATATGTTTGAATATCAAATTTTATATTTATTTTTAAGTTTGTAATTTATTTGTTTGTAACTTTAGTAATTTGAATTGAATACTTAAATGTGTACAAACCCTGTAAATAACTGACTTGAATAACTACTTTCACCATTACTAATGTTTTGTTGAGAAGCCAAACTGTTGAGAAATAAATCATTTTTTGTCTAAATTGTTATCCCCTTACTGCCTGATTTTATTTGCGATTACTGTATATATATATATATATATATATATATATATATATATATATATAAACATAATACAGGAAAAAAATAAAAATATAAAAACGAAAAAATAAGTTAAATAGTGGATCTAGATTAAGTAAATTTTAATTTCTAATAAATCATGTAATAAAGATAGATGACTGAATAAAAATAAATATTTTTGTCTATTTTTTTCTACAGGTCAAAACGGCATGTGCTGACATGCACAACATCTGCCTGGGAGCTGGTGATATCACGGCCCCAGAGGATGAGGAGGGGAGAACGTGTTGGAGGCAGTCAGTGGTGCTCCATGGAGGGACCAGCTGTCTGCCAAGGTGTCTGCCCCTGGAGGAGGGTCTACCCGACCACCATTACATTTAGATTGTCACATTTTAGCACATTTTAATCACATTTTAGCTGTTATTTCAGGGTAATGAAAACAGTTTTAGTAAAGTCATTATTTTCTTCGTCATTTTAAACTTTTTTAGTAACATGGCAGCCGTCAATTGGGGCAGCTGTCGATTGGGTCAGCCCTGCAAACCCTGATGGATGATGTGGTGAACAGTGGAGAGAGGCACCCCCCACCCCCCAGATGATGTCCCACTCACAGTCAGAAGACTCCAAGGTCATCTGTGTGGCATCGCATCCAGTCCAGCAGCACCACCAGGGACTCCTGCTCAGTCACAATTGTATATATATATATATATATATATATGTTCTCTAGTAATATTTACTGTATATCTTCTGTAAATAGTTGTAGTAGTTAATTTTAAAGGCTAATTTCAATACTTAAAAATGTTTTTAATAGTTTATTGTAAATACTTGCTTCTCTAAAAATAAACTGATGTCACTGAGAAGTTGTTCTAAGTTTACTTAAATTATAAAGAAGTGATGAAACAGATAAAAGACTTTAAGAACACACCGACAACAATAACTTTTATAAACAATTTAATAATTTAATTTAATAACAGCAACACATAACCTGAACTTGTTAAAAAAAAAAACACCAAAAATAATAATGTCTGTCCACCATCCTCTCCAATAAATGAAATAATCTGTCCATCCTATCCCGCTTCCCTCTGCCATCTGATATCCTCCCTGATTAAATCCACCAACTCGTCTCTCCTTCTTCTCTTGCTCCTTTCCCTCCTCTCTCCTGGCCTCTCATCCTCATTCTCTTCCTCATTGTCAACCTGGTGCTGCTCAGCCTCTGTAGCACCTGGCCCTGCTGTGTCCTCAGGGATGGAGGCAATTAAAACAGGTGGGGCATTAGGGGGCCTCTGTCCTAATACCTCATCCATGAGGACAAACCAGGACCAGGTGGCAGCAGTAGGCTTCCCACTGACCCCCTGTTTTCTGTAGTGTTTCTTTAAAGCTACAAAAAAGGAAGGTTTCATGATTTGGATGGATTAATGAAATTCTACAGAAAAAGACTTTGGAATGGTAACCTGGAGATTACTTTTTTAAGCTTACTCAAAATTAACATGAATATAATAAATGTAAGATGTAATTTCCCTACACACACACACACACACACACATATATATATATATATATGTATGTGTGTACATTATCCAAACCTGAACATACTTTTTTTTTTTAAGTTGTCCCACACAAGGATCACTTCTATCACAAATATGAGATTTACAAAAAGTGGCATCTGGGCATCATTTGATGTGATCAAATTATTATATATTTGTACGTTGGTGTTTGAACAGGACTTATTTTAACTTGTGTGACTTTTACATAGAAATGCAACATGTAGATGGAATTCTGCCTCAACTCTTCCCTCCATCCGACTGCAGCAGTATCTTTGGCCCCGATGATGAAGTGGTCATTTTATCCACTCCTCTGTCTGCTCCCTGGAACAAAATGACATGTAAAGCATATTTCTGTTAAGTCAACAGGCTAAATGACTGTTCTGTATAATTACACTGGTATTGTTCTTCAAGCGAATTATACTTTAAACCTTATTATACTGTACTGTAAATTAACTATACATTATTGAGTATTAAAACAAAACGTTTGCAGTATTAACAGCCCAGTACAGCTGGACTAATGTTATTTCTTCAGCTGCATTAAGCTTTAAAAGTTCTAATACTTTGTAATAAACTGTTTGAGAATAAATAGATCTGATTAGAGAGGGATACGGCTATCAGTACAGTAAGATGTAGGTTAAAATAAAAAATAGTGACATTTGTATGAAGGCTTTTAATTGTTGATGAACATCACGTATCAACAGGTTAGCTTTAAGCTTTAGCTTTAGCTGGTCCTACACATCCCGGTGGCTCTGTTACCGTCAAGTATTTTAATAGATGTTCATTTAAAAAAAGCAAAAACAAACTACCGTACTTACATTTAAAGGTGTTCTCCGCTCTACTGCCGGCGCTGCTGCTGCTTTCGGTTGTCCGTAACTTCAAGAAAATCCGACTTTCTTCTTCTTTTTCTTCAACTACTAAAAAAAAAAAAAAAGAAGCCAGGAAGTGCTCCAAAGGCGTCCTCCCAAGTACGCAGCCTGTGATTGGTTGGCCTATAGAACACCCCCCCACCCCCTACACACACATTTGCTCTCACATCTTCAAACACAAGTTCGTTTTGGCACAAATATCTCGCAAGGAATGTGACAAAAGTCAAAGCGCGGTGTCAACGTGCTGTGTCTCGCGAGAGCGCGTTTGTGTTCTTGAAGCAGCAGATTCAAGAAGCTGTAATGGCTAAATTGAGGTTGTAATGCAAGATTAACATATGCAAAAAAATAATAATTACAAATAAACTATCAATAATCATTTGTCAGCTGTAATTTTATTTGTGTAAAACTATATGAACACACCAGTAAATAGTTTTTTTGTGCATTCACATTTAAATCAGATTTGAGTGAAAATCCTCTTCAGGTGAAGATTGGACTGACAAGTGTAATTTTTTACATGGTCTTGCCTGATATTTCTTTTAGTGCAACTTCAAATTCAGTTTGTGTGTGTGCGGTTTTCCTTTACAGCAGAACATTTTGGCATACAAGTTCAGATTTTTGTGGTACAAATTCTCACATTGCATTCTCAAGTTTTCACATTAAATTCACAAGTTCGTTCATTTTGGCACATATTTACCTTCATAGTCTGTTAGGACCTATCAGTCCTGCTGTGGCTGTAGTCTTCCTGGATTTCACCCACGTCCTCAGGTATCATCAGGTAGGTTGGGATCCGGCTCGAAGGACCAATTTAATTTCAGGTCTAAGCACCTAAAACATCATACATTCATACAGGGAAAGAAAAAGGCACAGAGACAATTACCATAAATTCCGGACTATAAGCCGCTACTTTTTTCGCGCTGTTTGAACACTGCGGCCTATAATACAGTGCGGCTGATACATGTTTTTTTTCATGGTGCTGCGGGATGAAGAGGACCACGAGTGCTCAAGTGAGAGGGACAAGGATGAAACTGAAGTCAGTGACAGCATCCTGAAGCTGTTCCATTCAGACACCGAGGAAGAGGACGTTGAGGGTTTAAGTGCGCAGGAAGAAGAAGAAAGTGATTAATGACTTTTCCTGGTCGGCTGCAATGTTCTGTGCATTGTTCAATTAAAAGTATATGCAGCGTTATTTGCGTGTTACCGACACATATGTATATTTAAATGTGTTACAGGTAGTTTGAAAAAAAAAGC